TGAAGGTCCTAGATGGTAGTTTTTTCCAATATAGTGCCGTTTCATCGTCGTTAAAAATCTGATCAGGTGACTAAGGAACTTATGGGATGTTCTTGAACGGAAACCGSGCTKTAARAGTACCGCGTTAGAGGAGGGCTGTCGCAATTTCAGCACCGCGTTATATGGAAATCGCGGTCTGCGAGTGCCGTGTTATAGGAGGTTTAACTGTACTAAATTTCGTACCAAATTGAAAAATGACTTTCAACAAAATTTATTCAAATTAATGAGCAACGCAGTGTTTCATAAACGAATGTAAAATATTCGTAATTGCAAAGATTTCAAATTGCTAATCCAATAAGTAGGTAAAAACGCAATTTTTTCCAATAATTTAATCGCGGTCAAAATATGGATAAAATTATAATGAAATTTTTCAAACCCTCTTTCATAGGAATGTGCATATTACACATATTTAAATTACGTTTATACGAGTTTCATTACGATTACAGGATCCCTCGCTTATCGGGAAAATGTAAAATTATGTATACCGATACGGACGGCCAAATCTATGAATTAAAATGCGAGGATGCTTACGAAAGAATCAATACGAGATTCCGCAAGCGCATAAAAAAAAAGGTTCGATGAAAGAAGAAAGTAATGGTATAATTACGACTGAATTCGTTTGATTAAGAGCTAAAAATATACGCTCTTCTCTTAGATTATGTAATTATTAAAAAAATAAAGACCCAAATAGAAACGTTGTGGCGAAAAATATAGAGTTCAAAGACTATCTCGATTCTTTAAACAAAAAAGTAAAAAAAAAAAGTTCTTAAAAATAAAATCACTTCCGATAATCACAAAGTTTGTAAGTTATAAGCCATACAAAGTGGCTCTTAATCTCTATTATGATAAGAGATACGTTATGCCAGATTTCATAAACACGCTACCATTGAGACTTTACTCCATCAAAACGAAACGAAAATAGAAAACACATAAATTATTAACTCCTTACAATAAAATAAATTCCATCTTTCTTCTTATGAACGTTTTAGAAACAAAGCAATTCCTTTATATTCGGCAAATAACTATCGCTAATGACTGCATGCAAACATTGCAAAAATAATATACTGATTTCCTCGGTAAAACATACAGTGATTAACGAATGTACTTGAACACTTGCCA